ATATATATATATAATTGGTATATACTATAAGTATATTATTCGTATACACTCCAAATTTCTTGGAATGAAATCTCACAAAGAGAGTGAAATATTTTCATTCTTTAAAAGTGGCTGTATGTTCACTCTCTCTCGGAGTGAAATTTCACTTTAAGAAAATTAGAGTGTACTATTAGAAATAGTAGAAATATACTATTAGTGTGTGTACGCATTAATATATTCATAATTCTAGCTCACCAGATTCGTGATATTTCTGGTTCTCGTGATTGCGATACCGGTCATACGGCGATTATAATCGATGATTCCATGTGGATGATGATCGTTGAACGTCACAGTTGTTGCCGTTGTGATCAACCTAGAGAAAGCAACATCAATAAATCAGACAAGAGTCGAGTGGTCAAATTGTGAAATCAATTTCGCACTCGTCTGAAAAATTTAAGCTAATTTTGTCTATATCTTTACGAAGTGTCGTTTGCAACATTGCTCGTTTACTCAAAATCGTGCCTACTTGATTATCGAGTGAATCAGTTTCATTTCCTTTGGCGCCATCCTAACTTTAGCGCTTTTAGTTATTTCTCTCGATTTAACGACGTCCGCTATGCGCGTTAAAAACGGCAAGATAATTCATCTATGGGAGAGAATATTGTAACGATAACGGTTGTTAATTGCGAATATACTTATGAAAGGTGTGAATTTACGAATCTTTTCCACTCGTCTTTCTGATGTATCTTTATTCGGTCGTAGTGATTTTATCTCACTCCCTGTGCTACATCTTTATAAGAGACATAAAAATAAAGAAACGCAATTGGGCTTGTTACAATCGAATGAAATCTATTTTTCAAGCAATTCGATCGCCTATGATACATTAGGACGCCTTTCAAAGATCCGCTGTTATATTGCAATTAATTCACTATGTTTGTTACTTCGCTAAATTCACTTTTACACTCGATAAATGCAGTAGTTCGAAGTTCCGTCTGTTAACTAATTAATTCGATTAGTCTCTTATAAATTCTGATAAATATATATATGTATATATATATAAATATATAAATATATGTCCTCTTCGGAAATAGATAGCTGTTCACAAAGAATGGATAGATATTTATTTGTATTTACTCACCTGAGCTTTTGGGTTGAGGTATACTCGAGCATTTGATTTTCATTTCTAATATTTAGCATTGCACGCGTTAGTTTCATTACTTTTCTGGTTTGTTCTCTTTCCCATTCTCATTTTCTCATGTACGTCACATTAATATTTATCATTGATTGACAATCGTCTTTGATTAACTGTCATTCAGTTCCAAGTGATACGCAATTAAAAAAAAAATTGTGTGCATAAAAAAAGTACTTTTTTTATGCACACAATATAAAACTTGACAAAGCAAATTTTATAGCACTCTTTCTTTACTTATTTTTCATATAAAAATTGTACATTTTACATATATATATATGATTAACAAGGTGAATCTTAATTAATTATTCATAAACTTAAGGACTTTAGCTAATTTCTACTGCTTTCAAATATAATTAACGAAAATAATTTTATTCACTTTGAATGTCGGTCTAGTTAGCGCAATATTGGATTTCAATAGTATGACTCTTCTAATTTTATATATTTTAAAATTATTTTTAAACTATTTTGAATAGCGCTAACTGGACTGCATCCACTATTTATTCAATTTGTCTTTTCTCTTTTAAGTGAGGGTGGTTGACTTAACAAATTTGACATGTTTCTTGCTGGAAGAACGATACTTTCTGTCTCTCACCCTCTGACTTTCATTCATTGTTTCTTAAGTATCTCAGCTTGTTGCTACGCCTGTGAAATAAACTTGATTTTCATCAAACTTGGTCATTATTAGTACTTTTAAGTACCTTCCGCTGCTTAAACTCCATATGCTCTACAATGCACTTATGATGTTACTCTGTAATTGTACTCAAATGATACTGCTCTGAACTCATATGACTCTATAATAAATTCATTATATTACTCTATAATTGCATTCATATTATACTCATATTGTTCTATAAATATCATATTTCTTAAGTAATAATACTCAAATATCATAATATTGTGTACTAATAATTGAATTTTTAGAAACTATAAGAGATGTCGGGCCTTATATCTGGGCTTGTCAATTATTTCCAACGCTACGTTTACGTATGACTCAGGGGTGAGATATTCCTGAAATAGTAACGTTATTTTGAAATTAATAGATATGTGAAATTTGTTATATGCTTTAGAATAAAATCTTTAAACTTACATACACTTTCACAAACTCATATAATTTTCTTCAAATGTTATCTAATTTTTACTTTTACCTTTTTCTAATTAAATATCTCTAACTGGACGTTATGATTTCTTAAATGAGTCTTCATCTTTCGTCCATGTATTTTTTTACCAGTTCGGAGTCGATTTTTCCTTACTGAAAACGTCGAAGAGATCATTATCGTAGTTTCACAATTTTTAATATTGAATATATCTCTAATTAATCTTCAACTCTTACAAAATAATTAAAATTTCGCTATCTATTCTCGCGATGTTTTCAAGACTTCCTAAGAAACTCTTCCTAAGAAATCTTTTATTCTAGACTGCTTACAATCTAACAATGCTTTTGATACCTTTGTTAAAGAAAAAATCGACTGCAAACGATCAAAGAATTCATAGACGAAAGAATGACTCGGTCGGAAATGGCATTTAATCTACCAATTTCCCAAAAATGTTCACATATATATATACCTACTTTTTGTTACTTTATATTACCGAGATAATCTTTCGTCTAATTATCATACTTATTCGCCCAAATTCAGTCTTTTTGATTAGCTTGTCTTCCTAGGGCAGTTGCTGGTTTTTGCGTGTGTCTCGTCCACTTTTTCTCTGTTTCTCGTGCTATAAGGTAAGGTGACAATAAGGGTAAGGGTATAAGTCTTTGATGTATTGATGTTCTCGATCTTCATTTTTTTTTCAATGTTTCTTTCATTTTCATCGAGCGATCGTTTACAATAGATCGGGACATAACAACATGATGCGCTATATAGAATTATTCATAAAAGATGTATCATATACAATAAACGGTACAAATTTCAAGCGAGTTTCGTTAATTAATATAAAATAATGCACGACAGAGGATTAGACATTATACTGCATTGTTAAATTCATTATACTATTCGACTCCTGGTCGGATTCTCTGTCGAGAAAAGAAATCTCATTCAAACAACCGAGACTCACATTTTTTTTCTGCAATCTGCAGAAAATGCATAGCTAATCGTTAAAGACAACAAAATTGCCAAGTTCGTTAAATCTTATGAAAAATTAACTATTTCATAAGAATTTAATTAATTTAATTTTCAATTGATAATTATCTCCAATATAACATTGATAAACTGCTAATGACTGATCATCGATGGTCGTGACGGTTATTTGCCCAAGTTATAGATTGCAGAATTATTTATGTAATTATAAGTTATAAAATGGATGAATCTAATATTAACAAAAAATTACAATAAACAATAAAATTTTAGTAAATAAGTATTACAATAAGTTATAAAATATTTCCAATAGTTTCAAAATAATCCTCGATATTTTCAATTAAATCTAACTGAATAGACATAAACTTTAGATAGTAACTTTAGATATCAATTAATCAAAATGAATGAATATTAAGATATATTGAGAAGTGCTTATATCAGTGTTTAACGTTATTCTCCTTCTAAGCCTTCAGGGATAAAGTATACAGTTCCATATATCGCGTGCTTTGCCATCATTTTTCCTCTCCACAAAAAAAGGGTTTATTTATGATTTCTATTTACAAAACAGGACGCCGACTTTACAGTGTCGTCGTTATCGCTTTTGTCATTGCTGGTTTCTCTTTAGTTATTACTGTTGTGATAAATTACGCTACGCAAATAGTGAAGAAAACAGTCGAGAAAATTAACGCTCGACCGAGACTTAATTCTAGATTGTCGTACAGGCGACGTAATGAAATAATGTAATGTGTATTAATTGCTAATTGTCAAGTATAAAATATGTATTCCCTATATCGTCAAGCAATATATATCGATCAAGTTCGTTCAACGCGCACGAGACGAAGACAAAGCAAGCGGAAGTGAAAAAAATCTTGGAAGCAAAGTGACGCGGAGCAGTGCCTTAGAAAAGCTGGGAATCAATGAGAAGAATCTTTTGAATTAAATCTTTTGAAAAGTAAAACAATTCTTCAAATACATACGTCAATTGAAAAATGCATTCAGCAAAAGACAAGGATATATTCATATATAAAATAATTACGACATATGTCTAACAATATTAATTCCCAACTTTTTCAACACGTGTAATCAAATCAGCTTTTACGAAAAGCGAGATAAGTCCCTCGATATATAAGTATATGTATCTTGATTTTACAATTTTACATCACCTTGCTTCAAGATTCCTCGATTGTCATCGTTCTTCTATCAACAAATATATTTCGCAGTTTTAAAAGGAGAAAATTTATTCTCTTTAACGTGCGACGGAAGATGGATACGATCTGTTCTGTGTTTTTTTTTTCTTTTCGCCTGGGAGAATTGTTGTCTACTTAGATACAAAATTAATGAGCGGATATTGATTAAGTGACGGATATCTTTAATAACGTCGCTGAGACTGGGCGTTTTGGTAACCAGCACTGCCACCTGGAAACAACCATAGCTCCTCCGTTCCATTACTCGAGAAATATAATTAGTGTTCTTGCTTCTCTACATATACATAAAACTGAACGGCCTACTTATAGATCCTTGTACGATATTGCTACCAATTCTTTACCTGCCTATTATTTTTCGACGTTTTCGACGTGTGTATGTGTACGCGTACAATGAATATATATCATAATTTCATTTGCCTTTGATTCTTAAATACTTAAAAAAATGGATTTCTTGTAGATTAGCTTTGTGATGTAAATATCTTTATGGACAGTCTTTTAAACTTGCTAACGATCGAATATTGCAAAAATCTCGTGTATGTTTAAGTGGATTAAGAATCTTTCTTTGCTATTATGTTCTTGTGATATCGCAAATGCTCTTGTAATAATATAAACGCTTTTTGTAGAACTGCAAATACTTTTAGTATTGCGAATGTTCTCGTAAGACATTGCAGCAAACATTTCGGTGTACTAATAATAGCTGTTGATAATGTCGTTAAACATCTCTTGTAATGTTACATTCGTACCTAACACATAACTAGATATTTAAATTAATATCGTCTAATATAATAGCCCTATAGGTTGTATATTTTTTGCGTTACAAGTCGTTACATTGTGTTCAGTACTAACTGTAATTTTCACTTGATTTTTAAACGATTTTTAACTAAATTTGATCTGACCTTGTATTTTGGGAAGCGCAATTCTCATAAATCTCTCGGAATTATCTTTAATAATGTCTTTGGTTATTGTTTTGTATATAATGAAATTTCACCGATTAATTATCCAAAAGTTTATCCTAAATTATCCTAAATTTTATAGAATGTCCTACACTTTCCTTGTCAAAAATACGAAAATGTTCATATAAATCTTGCACATATTAAGTGTAATAAAAAGAAATCCATTATTTTTCCATTCAATTTCATGCAAAAATAATGGATTTCTTTTTACTACACCTAATAAAATAATACACTACATATGTCGTTTATATCTTTTTTTGTACCTTCCGGATGTTTCTTTATATATTATTACTTATTTAGTATATTTCACGTATAGATTCTACATAAACACAATTTCTTTTTCCAATCGACTTAACTAAATTTGTTTTCCTCTGATCAATGAACTTTTCTGAACTGCGAGTTGTACTTACCATAGTCCTGTTTCCCATAAACACCGTCCTGACTCGGATAATCTGCAATTACAAGAAAAATATTTATCACAACGCTTCATGAAAAATGCCGAAAATATAGAAGCGAATGACTCAGACGAGAAATATTTGAAACGAGTCGAAGGAAATAACGAAAAAAAAACTTTATCATATATAACGGTCAATTGAAGGATAAAGCAGTCATAGCAAAATATAAAAAAGGAGTACATCTCCATGAGAAAGTGACAAGTAATCAATTGATATCGCTTAATTGCTTCATACGATTTAAAAACATTTTCTTACAAATTAAATAAATCTACGAAGAAATCTTTATAATAATATTGAATTATAGATTAAGAAATCCAAAATATTATAAATAAAATCAGATGATAGAGGATATATTGAAAAAGAATAATAAAAGACTTAACGTGATAATTTATATACTTATATATATTGTTTGTTTTAGATGAGAAAGAAATTGCACATATCACGGACCTTGTAATCCTGGAGTGAAAGATGGCAGGAGGCAGTGCTGCAGTGCTAGTGTCTTGATGAAAGGATCCGTATCCAATTTTTGTGTGATTTCTTATTACGTTCAAAATGGGATTTGTGTAACTGCGCAATTCATTCGTATCGCTCGTAAGTAAAATACAATTCAGAAAAAAAAAACTTTAAAATTCTACACAGATCTAAAAATCTAAATATCCGAAATAATAGGAACGAGAATGTAAGAAAATATCCGAAAAGGAACGAGAATGTGTGAAGAAAATTTCAAGAACTTAAAAAAAATTTCAATTCTAATGGTATTAAGACTTCGAGAAATTCAAGTATTTGAATTTCTAGAACATAAATCGACAAATGATCTGACAAATTGACAGCGCATTTGCTCTCTCTTTTGTAGTTTAAATCAGAACGTTTCTCGTCTGAATCGAATTGTGTTTTACGTTTTTATTGCCGAATCGTGTTAACTCGGATGTAACCCGGAAAACAAAAACATTAGGTAGCGATCTTTAAAAACTCACTTATCATCGGGACATAAAATTATTTGTCAGAAAAGAGATCCCATTATATACAATATCTTAAATTCAATGTTTTGCTAGAAATTTTATATGGAGAACATAATAAACTATTTATTGTCATAATAATCTGATACTTTATTAACTTTTCTTGAGGAACATTTATAATTAACATTTCATTAAAATTAATAATTAAATTCCCTACTATGATTTTGTGACACAATTTAATATCGTGACACTTCTTTGCTGGAAATCTCTTCGAGCAAATAATTCAATATTCCATCTCTATGATAAATAAGCCCTTAAGAATCGCTCCAATGGCTAGTTAATGAATTGTATAATGTGAACGATGACAGCGAACGAAACAACTAACCATAAGGTTGCGTCGAATAACCCCGGTTGATTATGTTGACATTAGATCGGTCGTCATATGGATTAGCTGAGACATAACCGGCCCCGCCCCCCGGTCCCGCGGTTGACACTGCCTCCTGCTGGTAATCGGCTAGACATGCATTATGTAATATTAATAACTGTATATGGTGTCCCGCTGATCTACTCAATTCGATGCTCGAGTACTCGATTAGTGGATTATCGCACATTTTGAGTATTCACAATCAGTACTTGATTGTCGTGATAAGTACTATCAATGTTACACGTGAAAAATGCGTCAAGCTTAATCAATCCTTCACAATTTGAATTTTTATTTTAAATTATTATAGGAAGGTCACATTTGGAATTAAAATTTTAAAAATCTGAAAGTTTTGGAAAAAAAATAACTTCAAATTATTAGATCATGAGGAATTAATCAAAATTAATTAGCGAGAGACAAAGATACACAAATTGTAATAGAAACGATGCATGTCGCATACAACACCTCTTTAGTGTCTACAACTCACCTGACGGCGGAGCTTTGCCGTAACTGTACGGATCGTTAGCGCCGAATCCTGCAGCTGGAACCGATGACGCCCCGCCATATCTGCTATCTGCTGCGGACGGTGGATAACCCTGGATAATTAAAGGAGACAAAATCATGAATTCTAATTGAAAACACAATTAACAATTTTTTAATTAACACCAATAGAAAATTCTATTAATTTCGAAAGATTACAATTGTGTAATTATTTATTATTTAAATTTATTTAGAAGAATTAATTAAATTAAATACTCAAAAATCTAGAATGTATTTTAATATTCAAATTATTAAAAATAATTCGTTTTCAGAATTGTCTTGAATATATGTACTGTCGTCAATCAATTTCATTTACCGTTTGTCCATAATCCTGAGGCTGCTGATAACTCTCATAGCCCTGATAAGACTGCGTGTAGCCTTGCTGTGAGCCATAGCCACCGCTACCATATCCTACGGACTGTTGCTGCTGCGGTTGTTGTTGGCTGCTATAAGCGTTACTTGAACCTCCATAACCTTGGCTATTATCATTCAAAAGCAAAATATGTTGTTAATACATTCATTTTCTTTGTCTTATTAATATATACTTCACTGATTATTTTTGAACTTTTATATGTAAAATATAAATTATAACTATTTATTAATTATATATTATATTATTATATCTTCAATATTTTTTAAATTTGTTATTGTATTTGTTATAATGTCTATAAATCTTATCGAACATTTGTTTACTATTTTCGCAAATTTATTATTTCTAAAAAAAGATTATGTTTTGAAAAAGAGATAAGTATGAGTTTTAGAAAATAGCTTAGATAGTTAAATTGTACCTTTTATATGTCATAAAAAGTATATATAATAAATTAATTTATTCTTGACAAAAGATTAAACATATATAATAATAATAGGTGTCTTCAACATCAAGCTATAATTTCCAATATTGATTGAAAATTAGTACTAAAAGTGTGAGAAATATAAAATATCTTAAGTAATACAATTTTGATAATTCTCTTTTATATATATAGTCTCATTAAATATCCTAATAAACGCATTAATACATTTAAATATTATAAATATATAAAACTAACTAAATATATAAATATATAAAAAATTAATTTTAATTAATGTTCGATATTTAGTAAACACATGACTGAAATTACACATGTCAATTTAATTTTCAATCTTTAGTTTTCAAGAAAACAAATATCTTTAAATGTTACGATAAAAAGAAAGTTCCTGTGATATTCACCTAGGAGGTTGTGTAGCGTAGCCATTAGATGGTTGGGAAGACGGCTGATCAAAGCGTGGCCTTTTAGAGGGTCCACTCGAGCTAGGTGGGCCTCCTCCTCGTTTCGTAGGACCACCACGTCCACCACCAGTCCCCCGACCACGATCGAAGCCACCACGGCTGGGTCCACCTCTGCTTGATCCTCCTCTGAAACGATAAATTGCATTTGAATAAAAATATAATTCTATCACATTAACAAAATTCTCGTTGCAGGATGAGAGTATCACTATATTTTTCATATGGATTTCGTTTACACAGCTCGATTTCACCAGTTTCATAACATCAATATTATAACTTAGATGTAAATCGAGTTGTGTAAATGTAATCATTGTAATTTCTATGCTCTTTTGCTTATTTTTTATTCCTAATACTAAAATTAACTGTTAAGTAACTAATGACATTACATATATTCGCAAATAAAAACTTACGTCTCATCTTTATATACTAATAAATTTTATTGCTTTATTGTCTTGTAGTGTAAACATCTTATTCGATTCCCTTTATACATATTTTTATCATGACTTTTTGATGTCAAAATATCTTAATTTAACAAAAATTTATTTTTCCGACTGTCAAGCCATCGTATTAGATCTACTACTTTAAATTTTGAATTTCCAATATCAAATTTAAATTCAGCAAATTCAAAAACTTCTTATAATATATATTTATTAAGTTATCGTAAATCATTCAATAGAATTTAAAAATAAATTTGCGATATATTCACATGTATAAGATTTTTTTCAAAAAATTTTCAAAAGAACAGTAACCATCATGATTACATGAATAATTTTACTCAGGCTTAAATAAATTATTTTGGAGCTAAGAATTAACTCTCACCTGGATCCTCCTCTACCTCTATCCATGCCGCGACCTCGGAAATTATTGCTTCCTCCGCGGCTATCTCCCCTGCCGAAGTCGCCTCTACCTCTGCTACGGAAGCTATTACTACCACCACCCCTTCCGCCACCACCTCGTGGAGGACCACCCATTCCTAATGGTGGCGGGCCACCTCCAGGTCCACTAGACATTCCTGCTTCTGGTGGTCTATGTGAATGATCAATAAAATATATTATATTATATTAGCTTATAATACAAACTTATAAATTTTATTATTAAAAATATATAATATAAAAGATTTATAAGATCTTATAATTCTCATTTCACATTTTGCGATAAATTTATCAACAGGCATTAGTAGAAAGTAGTAATGTATTATTAATAATATATATTTATTAAATATATTAATATTTTTCATAATATTGGAAAAAAATTAATATACAATTTATAAATTAATGACAAAATTAAATATTTTATAAAATATGATTAATTTTATTAGAATATAAAATATATAATAATAAAATGCTTACCCTGGAGGAAAATGTCCACCTCGTCCACCTCTGCCAGGAGGGCCACCTCGGCCTCTCATTGGTGGACCTCCTCTCCCGCCAGGTCCATTACCTCGTCCGCCACGCATCATGCTACCACCTCGAGGAGGACCACCTCTGTTGCAAAATAAATATATATCAGTTATTTTTTTCATATTTATATACATAAGCATCTCTATTTGTATAATTTTATTAAATTCTTTGTTTCATTATGCCACATTTCTTTTTTTTTTTAATTAAAAGAATGGAAACTAATTATAAAAGCAACGTAATATTTAAAAATTTTTTTCTGGAGCAAAAATTGTTTCTTGAGAATATTAAAGGTGTGGCAAGTGTGTCGAGTTAACTAATCTGCATCATAAGTTCTTTACCTTCCTCTTTCTCCAAAACCACCGCGTCCCCTCATTACTCCACCTGGGCCTCCACGGCCTCGAAAACTACCTCTACCACCTCCTGGTGCTCCCTCCATTATTCAAACTTCCTGTAACATATTTTGATTCATATATTATATATATATCATATATATTATATATATATCATATATTATATCAAATCTAGAAATATAAAGCTAAAAATTTTTAAGTTTACAATAACATAAGTATTTATTAATAATTAATCCTGAAATTTTTGTTATCTTTCAAGTTTCAACTTTATAGATCAATTAGCTCTTCAAGATTTGTAATTACACATTTGCTTGATATATCAGTGAATGTTTTCCAACAATGATACAATAGGCTTGTTCTTTTTAATTGAACTTTTTATAGAGTTTTTATAGAGTTTTATAGTTTCTTTCCCTTTTTTCTCCATATCAGAGAAAAAAGAAAAGATGAATCATGTATACAAAGCTAAAAAACAAACTTATGCCTAGTTTTATCAATGTAGTTTGGCTTTAATCTCAGTTCAATTTGTTTACCTTTTTCTAATTTTTAGAAAAAGATGAAAAGTTAGTTGAACCAAGATTAAAATTAAACTATATTGGTAGAAATGGACATTAGTGTAATACAATGAACTATAATATTCTTGTTTGCCAATGTTAAACAAGGATAAAATATCACTACATTCTTGCTGGTAAACATCCAGTGTCTGATTTTTCATTTAATGACACAAGTTGGCACATAGTGGTTTTGACTGTAGCAGGTTTTAAACCGATCTGAGTTGGATTGATGCTTTGCTATTGATTGACACTACACTATCAATAATGAAACTTGCAATCATTAATCCAACAAAGATTGATTCAAAACCTATATAATAAAAAATACACAATAAAAAACATTAACATTCTATTTTTTTTGCAATTTCAGTGATTAACAAAGATAAAACAACTTGTACTGATTTGTGTCATCAAATGAAAAGAACCTGATATTCTTTTTTCTTGATGAAGATGGAGATAAAAAAAAAGAACAGGCATAAACGCTGATACATGCCTAGAATTACAAATTAAATTTGAATAATACTGATCTATAAAAATTAAAGCTTGAGACCATGAAAAATTTCAGAATTAATAAATCTAAGAATTAAAAGGAATCTTGAATTCAGAAATTTCTAGAACATTAAATTCGCACAGTATCACGGTTTATAACATTTGTCTAATCTGTCTAATCTGAAAGCAATTCAGTGACATTTTTCATCAAATTCTTTCAACGAAAGATACTCCGCACGTTAGTTATCAGTGCCTTTGCAAATACGGAAATATTGTAAAAAATAATAGAAACCCTCTCTCCCTCACTCTTTCTTTCTATATTGAAATGCCGAATTGCGGCGTGCGTGAATCTCTTTATTTGCTTCTCTTTTATTCAGATCTCAGCGAGTTTTAACAAGATGCAGCAAGCCACGACGTATCACCGACGCTATCTCGGAAAGTTCTATGAAAAATGTCCTCGCAGGGACGCGTCTCAGAGACACGATGTGAGATTTAATTGAAGCGAACTCTCGAGCAAAAATCCGAAATCCCGGATTCATGAAACGACACGATTTACAGAGATTAATGTTTACTTACGATGAGCAGGCGGCTATAAAGGCGGCTCATAAATCAGGGACGCTCGCACCAACAAACGAGCAAAATGGACGTCAGCAGGTCGGCTATCGTAGCGGAAGTAGTGTTGTGAAATTGCGAATTGGAAGGACAAACTCGGTGCATGCGCGGCGAGGCGACGCTAGCAGACGCTGTTACTAATCTCAGGTGCGTACACATTTTGCAGGAACGGTGGGTATCGTTAGATCCCTCACGGGAACTAAACTTGAGCGACACTTTTAGCCGTACAATTTATTGGCATACCCTGGTGGAAATGTTTCTTACACTTTTTATATTACATATAATTCATAAAAATTTTTAAAAATTTCAAAATTTTTGAAAATTTCAAAATTCTTTCAGAGTTTCAAATTTTAGCAATTTATCATAATTTTTATGTTAATTCCAAAATTTTTCAGAACTTTTAAATAGTTTCATTATTTTTTCGAAAATTTCTCTGATATTTTATACAAATTTAAATTTTTCAAAAGCGTCTAGAGATTCAAATATAAATTTTTTCTAAAAATTTTCATGTATGTAAATTCTGATCTAAAATTTCTAGATTTTTCATTCTATAGTTTCTGGTATAAAATTTTACAAAATTTGAAATAATTTGAAAGGATATTTGTTATTTATTGTTAGTTAATAATATCATCTGTGAAGGACACGAAATGAAAACTATTAATTATATAATAACAACATTAAGATAATATAAGATAATATAAAATTTATTTTTTTAAACGATTAATAAATTCCTTTACTACATATATAAACACACACAAATTAAATTGAATACTTAACACATATAGCGCTTAATTATTGTCATAAAAAGTAATGCAAATAATACGTGAATTATTGATTAAATGTATTGATTAAATGTAAATAGCATTAATAATTTATAGATCTGCGAGAGAAAGATATTCGATGTAAGTTAACGTTAGTACGAGCCTGAGCCGATCACGTGTTGAATGACGTAACTCACGCACGCGCATAATAGTCCGGTACGATTTGTCTATCCAATTCGCAGCATTAAACGGAAAAAGAAGAATTGATTCGCAAGGACTATGTGAGTCAACTCACATCATTTATTCGAATCCGCTGCCAACCGCGGGCTCCAATCACCAACAGCATTCAATATTTATTTATAGTAATTTATTCATCTAAAGACCCAAGGGTACATACATACATACAACACATCGAAAAATATATAGCAAATTATAGTAAATCATCATGTTATTATATTGTAATCTTTAATGATGAAATTTATACAAGTTCACTGTATAAACTTTGTATTACGTATACATATTATTATATACAATCATCAATTCATTATTATATTATACTATATTATTTATACTATCAATTTATTATAATAATAATTATGTCAAAGATACAATATTTTTGATGTAGAAAGAAGCCCATTTCTCGAGTCTGTTCTTCTTAATTAATGCCCGTTTTATTAAGGTACATTCACATGCAAGCAGCAGAAGCAGCAATCAATCAACGAGGCGGTTTTTATAGTGGCGTAAAAAATATTTTTTACACCAAATATTTTTTACTGCCGTATCACCCAGCTGATTGGTTGCTGCTTCCGTTTGCTTGCATGTGAATGCATTTTTACGCATTAAAAATTAAGAATTGCGAATTAAAAATCAGACTTTTATATTAGCGGAAATTTACAGTGAGACCAATCACAATCATAGTAAAGAAAACAGAGTAATGCCTGCAGAGTTGTGATTGGTCGCGCTGTTCCATTCATCTGTAAAATTTTCACTCATGAACATGGCATGCTAGCCTTAAGCTGGAAATAAAAGCATAAGCAATAGAAACAAGGAATAAGAGATTTCAACTTATCAGAAACTATGAATAATAGAATAGACGCTTTCTGATAAGTTGAAATTTTTTATTCTCGTTCCTACTGACTGTGCTTTTCACTGTGTTTCCAACTTTAAGGGCACAATAAAAGGAATAGGGAACAGAAAATAGAGAATAAGAATTTCAATCTATCAGAAACTGTGTATTCCACAATACATGATTTCTGATAATTGAAGTTGAAATTCTTATTCTCTGTTCTCTATTTCTTGTTCCTTTTATTGTGCGGAATCCCTAAGACTGCATTTTCATGCTGACACTCGATTCGAGCATCAAAACAGATCACTTGGTCAAAATTGATACTTGGTATTCGTCAATTGTATTTACGTGATTTATTTTGACGCTCGAATCGAACGTCGAGCGTCATGAAAATGCAGCCTAAGAACCAATCAGAGAACAACAGAGAACAGAGAATAAGAATTTCACCTATCAGAAACTGTGTATTCCACAATACATGATTTATGATAGGTTGAAATTCTTAAGGTATACAATAGAAGGAATAAGGAATTAGGAATAAAGAAAAATAAAAGATTTCAACCTATCAGAAATTGGATACACTGAAATACATTTCTAATAAGTTAGTTTCTAATAAGTTGGTTTCTAATAAATTAGTATTTGTTATTTCTTATTCCTAATTCCTTCTTCCTTCTATTGTGCTGCATCATTATTCTCTATTCCTTGTCCCTTTTGTGCGGAGCTCCTAATATTCTACGCGCCGCGCGCTCGCTTAACGCAGGCAGCTAACTACAAAAATAAAGAAAAACTCTAGCTTGCTTTCGCTGGAAAAAGATAGCTGATAATGTCCCCACATCGCCATGAGCCACGTGATCCAGCCAGCGCGCGCGGCGATTGGTCGGCTATGCGTCATTTAAACCGGCGAGCCGTTGGCGTTGCATGTCTTTCGTGATCGTGAGTGCTAGGACTGCTAGGCGGTTTGAATTGAACAGAAGTACGGTGAGCAGCGAATTCAGTGGGTGTTTCTGCGGTACGGCAGCGTGTCGCGCTCACGGCTGTTCACTCTTCTTTTGCTCCTTTCCATCAACATCCTCACCGCAGTTCTTTTTCTCACGGACACAGAAGAACGAGAGTAGAATTGAGAACCAATCGGGTATATAACGTAAAGCAGTGCGCATCAGTCATTGAAGTATATAATAAACGCGCGAATCTCTACCGGCCGGTATTGCCGGTAACGTGATTTGGGGGGACGAAAGCGCAGATCAGGATCGACGACACGACAGCGGCCACGGCGTGGCAGCGGCAAAACGTGTCTATCTGATAACCACACACGGCATCATCGAGTGGTATCATCACATTCGACGGTGATACGACAGCGGGTTTGTTCGCCACTGTGATTACATCGATTGCATGATGTCGAATGAGGAGGAGAATACTATACCGAACGTGATATACGACAAGAACACCGGCAAGAGTTACATTAAGGGCCGGTTCTTTGGGAAGGTAATGAACGATCGCTGCGTCCTTGAGCTGCCTTCGCCTTGACCTTTCTCAGTCATGATAGCATTACATTTGTGCGTTTTTGTTGTATGACTTCAAACCTGTTGATTGGCTGTAAGATGGAGATCGGAGGACTTCTCTGTCTTGCAGTTAACAGACTTTAAAAAAATTTCTACGACAAAAAATGAACAAATGTTATCTTATTCATCGCGCTATCGCATTTCTCGCGATTTTCGCAATGCATATATATATATATATATATATATTTATACATACACATCCATACACACACACACACACACACACACATACACACACACATATACATATGTACGTAAACACGATTCTCCGACATTCGACACTTGTTGCATTTCCGAGGACGCGATTTGTACGAGACTTGAGATGATTCGTAATTGCGAGAGAAGCTCGTGACGTTTGGGAAAAATTGTTTCAGCTCCCCTTTGGGATTCCATAAATATTTGTATTGAAAGTGATATTCTTGAGTTCATTTCTACCAATTCAGGTTACTTTTTAGAGGAGACATGACTGACACAAACGTCGTTCTATCTTTCTTGGCATTCAATAAATAACATAGATAAAATATATTTATGTTTCCTAAAAGGAAAGCAGCTTCATGTTAGTCACTTTAATTTATCTATTTTTTTTATCTCTTTCTAGTTCTAATACTAAAAAAGAGATGAAGAGTATAAGCCAAGCTCTTAAACTTAAGATTAATTATTATCTTTATAGAGATTGACAAAATTGAAGAAGTTCTTGAAAGAAGATTACTTAATTATATTTTATCATGTATACTTAAATATTTTCTATTTCTATTCAATTTAGATTAACTTTAATCTTTTTAGGTTAACTCTCTTTGTAATTTTTAGCAGGGAATGGAAAATTATTTTTTAAAAAATAACAAGTTACAGTTACTTCCATTTCCTAATTTTTAGAACAGTAAAAAGTAAATTAAATCCAGATTAAAATTAATTTACATTGATAAAAATGAATACTAGAGAACTGAAAGAATTTTATGAAGGATTGTTTTTTTTTTTAAATGTTATATATATATACACACACAAGATTTGGAAAAAATGATAAATCTTTCACATAGGGGTAATTTGACTAAACTGAAGAAAAGTCCTCTATTATTTTATGATTTCAGCAATAGTTAATAAGATATTAATTGCTATAAATTAATAATTTTTTACTCAAATACTATCAACTTTAAAACAAACTATACAGACAAAAATTGTTTATTTTCTTCTCATAAAGTTCTGAGATTTTTTTCAGAATTTTTTAATACTGTATTTTCTCATATTGTTAAAAATAAGAAAATACAGTCCTAAAAAGTTGAAAAAAATTCTGAAAAAATTCTTCAGAGAAAAAAATAAACAATTTTCTTTTGCAGTTTTTCTGTAAAGTTGATAGTATTTGAGTAAGAAATTATTGAAGCTTAATTTTGGACAATTTGTAGCAATTAATATATTATTAACTATTGCTAAAATCATAAAATAATAAAGATTTTTTTTCAGTTTAGTCCATTCTGCCTCTATGCGAAAGATTCATTACTTTCTCTGGTATATGTGTGTGTGTACACACACACACACACACACACACACACACACACACACACACACACACACACACACACACACACACAC